TAAGCACCATATTCTGACTATTTCTTTTTCCTTATAGTGTATAATCTTTAAAAAGAATTCATTAAATTTGTACTATCACTGGTACTTTTTAGAGCAAGCATATGGCGATGAAGGCATCTGGAGCATACAAAAACTGCAAGCCTTTTATTATAGTAGCTTCAACATATTCGATTTCTATTTCTTGATCACAAACTATCTCCAATGAATAGATACAGAAGAATGTTTTTTTTGTCATTTTACATGTACAAGCAAAATTTTCCAAACACTAAAAAATAACTTATCAACTTATTACATTTTGGTACCGTCATAAGTTAATCCAAATATTTTTTATAAAACTCCGATTTAATACCATATAAATTAATAAACACTTTTATAAAAAAATCATAAGTTGTTTTAAACAAACAATTCCTAAACACCCCTAAAATACTATAATTTAATAGATATAAGTTAATTTATGTTGGGAAAGAGGACCAAGACCAAAAAAAAATTATAATAGGAAATGAAAAAAACACAAGGACAAAAAAAATGAGGTGTACTCCATTTTGATATTAAACTGTCGTAATTTATTAAATTTGGACCAATTAAAATATAATATTTAAGCTACTCTAAACATTTTAAAAAATTGCATGAATTTTTTTTATTAATCTGGATATCCGACCCGTTATGCGAGCTGATTAATTCCCACCTKCTTTGCAGATTTTGGTTTGACACTGCTTCACACCCAAAAAGAAGGGAGCTACGTCTGAGTTAAACTTGRAGATGGAAGTCTTCTTTCGTTTCTCGACAGTAAAGTAGCCCAGAGTGATCGTACTTGAACCTCCGTGGCCACAAGAGAATTTTTATTCCTCCTTAAATTTGAACCTGAGACCTCCTGGTACTTTTAACCTTTGGAACCAAGCTCAAACCAATCAGACACCATCCATATGGTTTTGTATGAGAATTTTTGTTGTCTATATTACAAGAGTATACAGATTACCTTAAATAAAACCAAATGAAAATTTGAAATTCAAATCAACAATAAATAATGTACAAAATTAAAATATGAACCAAGTATAAATGTTGTATTTTTGTATAGAAATTAATATTTAATATCGAGAAAAAAAAAACTAAAAATTCAAAATATTTCTTTACATAATTACAAACTTATATTTAAACATTATAATAATTTATAATATTAAATTAAAACAAATACACCTAGGACTATTCCTATTGATTATTAAGAAAATTAAAAATGAATTATAATTTTATATTAGCAAATAAAAATCTAAATTTATGTAATATTTTATTGTATTAGTTTTTTCGGTTAAATGCAGATGATTGGTTCAGCCATTGGTTTTAAAGAAAACAGTCAGAAAAATTATCAATAGTCAAAAACTTACACTAATAATGGGTCGCTTGCACCTAAATATTCCAACTAGGCGACCTATAGAGAGAAATGTTAACAGCTACTCTTTATATTTGAATCTATTAGAACGATATTCGTACAATGCAGTGAGATATATCTTGATTTTAATATTTTATTTTTTATCTCAATCGATGTTATAATATGATCTTATGTGATTTTGAAAACAAAACGATGATATTTTTATTTTTATAAAATATAAATTTGAAGATATCATAAAAAATTGACAAAAACATATCGATATTAGTATCAAATTAATTATTTAAAATTTCTTATTTTTTATGTAATTTTTAATTTAATTTTTTTTTATTTTTGGTTTAATAATATAATTTTCTTATAAAGATAATAATTAAATTTTTTGTTAGAACTCGATAATTATCTTAATTATATTTTAGATTTTTTATATTTTAAAATGAGATGTTTATCTTCTATTTGATTATGTTTATCCGTGGTTAATTACACAAATTCAAACATGAAGCTTTAATAAGTTATACTTGTACATAATTTACTTGTAATATGAAATTTTAAGTAATATGCATCAATGTACAGTACTTCATGCATAAAAAATAGTTTTTAAGAGTTTTTATCAAATGCTTTATAATACTAGAAGGGTACTCGCGCAATGCAACGAGATACATCTCGATTTTAATAATCTATTTTATTTGTTGTCTCCGTCAATGTTATAATACGATTTTATGTGTTTTTAAGAAAACAATAATGATTTTATTTTTGAATAAAATATAAATTTGAAAAAAAATATATGAACGTTAATATGAAATCAACTATTTAAAAGTTTTTATTTTTTATATAATTTTTTTTAATTATAATTCAGTTTAAGTTTAATAATTAAATAATTTATTTTTTATTTAAGTCAATAATTAAGGGGGTGTTTGGGATTGCTTATTTAAAACAACTTATGCTTTTTTGTAAAAGTACTTATTAACTTATGTGGTATCAAACCGGAGTTTTATAAAAAATGTTTGGATTAGCTTATAGCGGTACCAAACTGCAATAAGCTGATAAGTTGTTTTTTAGTGTTTGGCAAATTTTGCTTATATCTGTAAAATTACCAAAAAAGACAGTCTTCCATATTATTGACTTATGAGAGTGTTTGAGATTGCTTATTAACTTATTTGATTTTTTAACATGTAAAAAATTATTTTCGTCATTTATAATATATTTGAGAAAAATTTATATTAATAAGATTAATAATTTATATCAATAAGATTAATAATTAACAAACATTTATACCAATACCATTAATAATTCAAGAAAAAATAATATATTTATAATATATTTGAGAAAGGGATATTGATGATGAGAGGAAGGGATGATGATGATGAGATGTATATGATGTTTGGATAAATTTAAAGAGGTTTAAAATGGTAAATCGGTGATAAGTTGTTTTTCATAAGTCAGTAAGGATTAACTTATCAAAAACTGCTTATTACCGGTTTGGCACTGGTATAAGCAGTTTTTTTTCTTTTCCCAAACACTCTAAAATAACTTATCTCCAGTGCCAGACTGAAATAAGTCAAAAAACAGTTCCGATAAGCAATCCCAAACGCCCCCTAAGTATTCTGTTAGAACTTATTGATTATTCTAATTATATTTTAGAATTTTTATACTTAAAATGAGATGTTTATCCTGTATTTGATTATGTTTATCTGCAGTTAGTTACACAAATTTAAATTTAGAGTTTTAATAAGTTGTACTTACGCACAATTACTTGTAATCTTGAGTTTTAAGTAATGTGCATTAATAAATAGTACTTTATGCATAAAAAATAGTTTTTAAGAGTTTTTGTCAAATATTTTATAATATAATATAAATTTATTATTTAATGCATATTTAATAGTAAATTGTTAACTTCGTAATTTAAAAGATTTAAAAATTGAAGGTAAATGTTTAAAGAGTAAACTACAATTTTGGCCCCTCTGGTTTACATATAACTACAAATGCTCCTGAATTTTAACAATACGGGTTCATGTGATTTACATTTTGACTTGGAATTGGACCTTGACATCGATTCTGTTAAAATTTGTCAATTAAGTTAGATGTATTTTTTTATCCTTTTACATAGTTTTCATTAACTAGCATAAATACAAGTATTTACAGATTGAGTACAAGTTATTATGCATTAAAGAACGTAAAATCAACCTAATCCCCCATCATGGGTCAACAAACCCAGAAACGACTCTGGTCACCATCTCCATTGTCGATCACCATCTTTGGCCAAGATCTTTTGTCTCCTTTCCCAACTTTCAGTCCATCTCCACAAACCAGTTCCCAAACACACTTCTTACAGAATCTCCGAGATCCACCATTAATAAAGCCTCCAAGAAATTGTAAACCATGAACACCTATTCCACTCGTCTATGCAAACATGAATCTGATAGCACAATAAAAAGCTGAACTCCATTATTTTATGCAAACATGACTCTGAATCAAACCCTCTTGACCGCTTTGGTGTTTGAATCTTGAAATGAAACAAGGTACAGAGGATTGGTTGGCATACTCAACTCCGTCGACTATAAATGGAGGAAAAACTCAGTTGCAGTGAGTGGATATGAAAGAATAAATTACATTTTACCGAAACACTGATTATCGTTCCTCGATTTCACTAGTTATATGGTTGCCCTTGTGGTTTGCATTTTGCTTTGGTTTTGGTATATGGGTCCGGTAAGAAGGATGTTACCCCAACTGACTAGCATGTGAGGGTAATCTGGTCATTTTATACTATATTTATAAAAGAACTTCTATTGTACAAATACTTAATGCATAAGTACAAGTGTCTAAAGCTTTAAAAAGAAACTCAAAGAATGTATAATCAAAAACATTATATCAAGAACACAACCCAAAACATGAACATGAACATCATGATCTTCATCGTTATAGATCCCAAACCAAAACATAAACATAGTATTTCTAAATTAATGCAACACAAATTCATTAAAATTAAATTGTATGCCAAGTTTCCCAACCAGATCCATCTCAGAAACCAAAAACATTCATCCATTGTTAGGGATTGAATTATATTTAATATTTCAACCAGATAAAATTACAATATCGAGTTTCAATCTGTTCCCCCTAATCTAAAAACTTTAACAAAAATGATGGATGATGATGAAGATGAAGCTGAAGGAGTGTTTCAGACGACAACGCTATTATTCATTGATGTACTAATTGAAACTATATGCAAACCATAAGGACCAAAATTGTAACTTATGTATAAATATAGTAAGGATTTGGTCTGGTGTATATTCGAATTGAATTAATTTATTGTAGAATGGGAATGGGAGGGAGTATTTGAAAACGTAGTGAAGTGTGTCTGTGTGTGAGTGTGTGCGTGTGTCTTATTTTTACTTTTCAATCGAAAAAGAAACATAATCACTTTGGGTTGCTTCTTCCATGGCCCCACTTCCACCCACACCACAGAATCAAAAGAGATATACGGAAACGATAAACCAGAAACCATGGTAGGTCCCCACCACCAAAACACCTCTCTTTCCTTCTGCTTCATCCCTTGATCTCTACGTCATTAACACCACCCCCCCCACCCTTTTTCTCAATTACCTCCGCCGCCGGCCGACGGAATAGGAATCATCATGGCCAAACTTATGCTTGAAGTCGTCGACGCCACCGACCTTATGCCCAAAGATGGTCAAGGCTCCGCCAGCCCTTTTGTTGAAGTCGATTTTGACGGCCAACGCCAGCGAACCCAAACCAAAACTCGAGATCTCTATCCGGCTTGGAACGAGACTCTCGTTTTCAACGTTGACGAACCCAGAAATCTGCCCTTTTCCACCATCGAGGTGACTGTTTATAATGATCGGAAAACGGGTAACCACAACAACTTTCTTGGTCGTGTTCGGATATCCGGCGCCTCTGTGCCCTTGTCGGAATCTGAAGCTTCTGTCCAGAGATACCCACTTGATAAACGTGGATTGTTTTCTAATATTAGGGGAGATATCGCCCTTAAAATCTACGCCGTTCATGGTCAGTATTTCTCCAATCAACCACCGCCGCCGCCGTCGAAAGAGCCGGAGCAACAGAACCAGCACCACCATGTTCGTAATGAAAATGATTGGAATGATCGTTTCGAAAGTGCCAAACAGGTACCGGTAGTAGAAGAAATCAATACTAATCATTTTCCTTTTGAGAATGAGTACGAGGAGTACGAGGATAGCCAAGAGAACAAGAAGAAGAACAAAGATAAACAAAAAGAAGTCAGAACTTTTTTTTCTGTCGGCACCGGCGGAGGCGGAGGTGGGCCAACACCGGCCGCACCACCTCCGGTCACCGTCGAAAGCAAAAGCAACTTCATGAGAGCAGGACCAACCAACATGATGCATATGCAGTTCCCAGGGCAAAAGCCACCACCGAACTTCGGGTTGGTGGAGACACGGCCGCCGGTGGCGGCGCGTATGGGGTTCCGTGGAGCTGACAAGACGGCAACAACCTACGATCTGGTGGAGCAAATGCATTTCTTGTACGTGAGTGTCGTGAAAGCCAGAGACCTCCCGGTGATGGACATCACTGGCAGCCTCGACCCGTACGTCGAAGTGAAGCTCGGAAACTACAAAGGGGTTACGAGACACCACGAGAAGAATCAATTTCCAGTTTGGAATCAGGTTTTTGCATTCTCGAAAGAACGATTGCAGTCCACCATGCTCGAAGTGGTGGTGAAAGATAAGGATTTGTTAACCAAAGACGATTTCGTCGGGAAGATTGGAATTGATATCGTCGACGTTCCACTTCGTGTGCCGCCGGACAGTCCCTTAGCTCCTCAATGGTACAGATTGGAGGATAAAAGAGGGATGAAAGTCAGAGGAGAGCTCATGCTCGCCGTCTGGATCGGAACTCAGGCCGACGAGGCATTTCCCGGCGCATGGCACTCCGATGCTCATGGCGTTAGTCATCATAATCTCGCAAACACAAGATCAAATGTCTATTTCTCTCCTAAATTGTACTACTTAAGAATTCACGTCATCGAAGCTCAGGATCTTATTCCGGTAGATCGGAGTCGCCTGCCGGAGTTCTTCGTCAAAATTCATCTCGGAAACCAGGTTCGAGCCACCCGAGTCTCACAGGTACGAAACTTGAACCCCGTTTGGCAGGAGGAGTTAATGCTTGTTGCCTCGGAACCGTTCGATGAGTTCGTTACGATCAGCATCGAGGATCGGATCGGGCAAGGAAAAGACATTTGTGTCGGTCGGACCAGCGTTCCGGTGAGAGCGATCCCGCCCCGAATCGACTCCAAGAAGCATCTTGAAGCGGTCTGGTTCGATCTTGGTCGACCGTCACATTGGGAGGAAGAAGGCGAGAAGAAAAAAGAGGTCAAATTTTCCAGCAAGATACATCTTCGATTGTGTTTGGATGCTGGTTATCATGTTCTCGATGAATCGACACATTTTAGTAGCGATTTGCAGCCATCTTCGAAGCATTTAAAGAAGCAAAGTATCGGAATTCTTGAACTCGGCATTCTAAGCGCCCAGAATCTGCTTCCCATGAAGATCCGAGAGGGTCGAATGACCGATGCGTATTGTGTGGCTAAGTACGGAAACAAATGGGTTCGGACCCGAACGTTGCTCAACACGCTCACGCCACGTTGGAACGAGCAGTACACATGGGAAGTTTACGATCCTTGTACCGTGATCACGATCGGTGTTTTCGACAACTGCCACATCAACGAGAAGGAAGAATCGAGAGACCAGAGAATAGGGAAAGTTAGAATTCGGCTATCGACGTTGGAAACTGACCGGATTTACACCCACTATTACCCGTTGCTGGTTCTCCAGCCATCCGGTTTAAAGAAACATGGTGAACTCCACTTGGCGATTCGGTTCACCTGTGTGGCTTGGGTGAACATGGTGGCTCAATACGGCCGGCCGCTGCTGCCCAAAATGCACTACGTTCAGCCGATATCGGTTAAACACATTGACTGGCTCCGCCACCAAGCCATGTTAATCGTGGCATCTCGGCTCTCGAGAGCCGAGCCGCCGCTCAAACGAGAGAACGTCGAGTACATGCTCGATGTGGATTACCATATGTGGAGCTTGCGGCGGAGCAAGGCCAACTTCCACCGGATTATGTCGCTTTTGTCGGGAGTCACTGCCATTTTCCGGTGGTTAGACGGGATCTGTCACTGGAGAAACCCGTTGACCACCATCCTCGTTCATGTTCTGTTCTTGATATTAGTCTGCTACCCGGAGCTGATATTGCCGACGATCTTTCTTTACCTTTTCGCGATCGGATTGTGGAACTACCGATTCCGTCCACGAACCCCACCCCACATGGACGCCCGAATCTCTCAGGCGGAAATGACACACCCTGATGAGCTCGATGAGGAATTCGACACTTTTCCGACTTCAAGGCCGACGGAACTTGTAAGGATGAGGTACGACCGAATGAGGAGCGTGGCTGGTCGTGTTCAAACGGTGATCGGGGATTTGGCAACACAGGGAGAGAGAGCAATGGCGTTGCTGAGCTGGCGAGACTCGAGGGCTACAGCCATCTTCATCATAATCGCATTGGTGTGGGCGGTGTTCCTTTACGTGACTCCGTTTCAGGTGGTTGCAGTCCTGTTCGGGCTTTACTGGCTTCGACATCCGCGGTTTAGGAACCGGATGCCATCGGTACCCTTCAACTTCTTCAGGAGATTGCCTTCAAAATCGGACACGCTTCTGTGATTCTGTTTATATATTATTTTCAGCAAAATAAATGCAATAAAAATCATTCATTCTTTTGGGATTTGGCTCATATTTCTATTGGTTTGTTTGTTTACCTCTTAATAGTTGCAATAAAAAAAATAATTTCTGAATAGTTAAGAGGTGAATCTTGTCTGGCAAAAAAAACTTCTAACGGTTCTAAAAATGATTTTGTATCATATGTCTTCCATAATTATTCACGACCCTAATTTCATTAAAAAAAATTCTCAAACAATTATATTTTATTTTACACCGTATCTAAAAGTCTCTTGATCATTTTAACCGCTTAAACATTCTATAACAAACCATCCAGCAAAATCTAATACACATGATGATCAAGCGGTGAGAATGTTCAAACAAAATTCGCATCAACAGGTAAAAGGTAAAACAAAGAAATGGAAATCGGGCTTCACTCTGGAATCTGGATATGAATATAGGAAGAAAGCAAACCTGGGTGATCAGTTGTACGTGGAGTGGATGGGTTCTGAATTTAGGGTTTACCCTTCTTTTTCTGCGTACGACCACCGTTACGGTAAACGAAATCCGGTGGATCACCACCTCTATATCCTCCATGTTTCCGGTGATACTGCTTTGTCGATGCTAGGTTTGAGAGGAGGATCTTTCAAAATGTTACAGAAATAGGAAGATTTCATCACGGTTTTATCTCGACTGTAACTTGAGGATTTTTAGGGAAAATATATATAAAGTTTTGGGTACAAAATGGAAACTCTTAAAACTTGGGTGGTATTTATCCTAGAGATATAAAAGTTCCATTTTTTGGACTTTGGAGAATTGAGGACGAGGGAAGAGAAGAACATGGCTAGCGCCGCCGCTGCTGCCGCTGCGATTGTGTTGCTACCAGGGAGACAAACATTGCCGGCGACCATGATGAGCTTTAGTCGGAGGCTGAATGGCCCTGTATTCCGTTCTGTTACCTCTTGCAGTTACTCTACCTCCTTTGCATCAAGGAAGCAGCTGATACTTTACTCGAAGCCTGGTTGCTGTTTGTGCGATGGCCTCAAAGAAAAACTTCATTCTGCTTTCTCTCTTGCTTCTCCTTCGCCTGATTCCTACTCCCTCCATGATGTCGAGTTGCAGGTAGGTTCAATTACTCCATGATTGTCGTTTCAATGTTCTTAATCTGTGTGTTGGCACTTACTCCGAGTTGGGTCTTTGCTGTGATTAGGTTAGGGATATAACTAGCAATCCTGAGTGGGAAAGAGCATACCAGTATGAGATACCGGTCTTGGCTAGACTCCGTTCTGATGGCACCGAGGTTGGTTGGTGTTTTCTTGAATTGAATAGACAGATACCCCCTTATTCATATGGTTCCCCGTTCACTATGAGTGTCGAAAATGCTAAGTTTCCAACTTCTAAATTGACACTTATTCAACTACTAGTTGTTAATTGCTTAAAATTAAGCAGAGTACCACGAAAAGAATGGTGCTTATGTCGAGTATGCAACAATCAATATCCATTTTGCTGCTAGGTTTGAAATCCATAGTCTCTTGACTATTTGTTTAGTACCAGAGGGTAAAGATTGAAGACTAGTTTGCTGCGAGACTTAACCGCAAGGAGGGGGATGCCGAAGGCAGGGCTAGTGACTGAAGTGAAGTCGGTCCGTGACCCCTGGAGGCCGAAGGCGTCCTTAGGGTAATCTCGTAGTTCCTACGGGTGGAGATGATGGGGTCGCCCTTCCCTTTTGGGCCGGTTATGGGCGAGGAGGGATTCGAACCCCTTCTTACCCTGAAAAAGTAGGGTCACCTTATGTCCTTGAATCTGGTCATTCACTATGACCCGCTAAGCATCCATGGCTGAATGGTTAAAGGTGTATAGAGGATAGACATGGCAGCCATGCACATTTTTTTGAGGACATGAACTTTGATATGAGTGCTTGGAGACGCAGGACTGGGGTATTAGATTTAGGTGTTAGGCACTAATAGCTAGTGTAGGTGGGTAGAAGAAGGGAGCTAGATAGGTAGAGGGTGGGATGGGGGAGGGTTAGGGAGCTGATTATATGACGATGCATACATCCCCCAGGGGTGAGCCAAGATTCAGAAACAGGGGGAGCACCGAGTATAAATCAATAAAATTAATTAAAATAAATATTAATTTCTTGGAGTCAATAATAAACGAAGGTAAGTTTTTGAGTTTGAAAATCATTTATAACCGCAAGCGCACGGTGTCGTAGCATATGGGTCGAACACGGGGAGACAAGGGAATAAGCACAAATTTATTCATGGTATTAGCTAGTTGAGCGCAAACAGTTATCAAAGGTTGGACTAAATCTAGAAATCAAATAACACAATTAATCACTTAAGCTACACTAAACATAACTAAATTAAACCAAAGGGCCTTTGGCCTAGCGGTATGTGAGTCTTTGGCCTCCTAGGAGGTCAAGGGTTCGAACCGCACTGAAGGTGAGAAGGGTGTGTGAATTTATTTGTTCTATTTGACGTATATAAGTATTATATACTTCAAAAAAAAAAAAACATAACTAAATTAAGAATCAAACATGGCTAAGTAAACATATGAAACTAAGTTGCAAGTAGAACTAGATTAACAACTAAACCAAGAATTGAATGACAATCTTATTAGCATTAGCAACTCAAATTGAAAGACCTTAAATTCTACACTATGCTATCTAAAATGGTGAATACCAGTGTTTGGACTTTTCAAAGTGGGATTTGCCAAATTTAAACATTACTTTTGCCCCTATTCCAAGGAGACAAAAACCTTTCTTAATTGAAGGTCGATTATTTCTATATCTGTTGATTCTAAAAAGAAGCATTAAGCAAGACAAAATATTCCCAAATAATCAAAACATTTATTTTCATGATGTGATAAAAGTCATGTCAGCAATAGGTTAATCCAAGTCAACCAAATTTTCATTTAGATCTCAACTGTTAAATTCAACAATTATTGATTAGTGATCATTTAACAACCCCTAACTTAGGTTAGTCGGCTAATCAAACAACCATTTTATTGGGAACCCGTTTACTTAAAAGTTAAAACAACCGATTGATACAAATTAAGTGTTTACAAATATTCACCTTAACTATGACTCAATTAAACATGAATCCAGGAAACAAGATTTTAAACTAATAAACATGACTAAACAAGAACTACTCTTAAGAGAAAAACAATTTAAACAAGAGAAAACACATAAATCCTAGATCTAGATTATTAAAGACATTAAATCAACAATAAAACCTAATCTAGCAAGCATGAACTCTAACCCAAAGTTGACAAAGAACAAGAAAATGAATCTAAATTCACTATTTCAGAGAATAAACATGACCAAATCCAAGGAAAAAGTTAAAATAATGAAATTACTTAAAGAATCTAGATCTATGGAACAAATAGTTGTAGAAAATTGAAATCAACAATCAAAACTTAGAAATATAAGCTAGAATCATGAATCAAGAAATACACCCTACCCTACCACCTATAGGCGGTCGTCGTCATATAGAATAAAGCATAGAAGGGAGAAGGAGATACAATTACTCTCTAATTCATAGATTCATTCCATGGCCGTAGCTGCAAATCCAGAGTTCGTAAGCTCCAATCTCCAAAATTAAGCTAAAAATCTAATCTAATGTGTAAAGGAAATTTAAAATCGGTAAAATGTACTATGGAGGCTTAATCTGTAGCACCCTAGTTTCTTTATTCGCTAAATCTCAATGTTTAAGCCTTAAATACAAGATTTTGTAAGTAAATTAAGTACTCTTAAAAGAGTCCAACAGCTGTAGCATTTATTAAACTATCATATTTATAAGGCAAGTAGCTTACAAAGCTACTTATAAACAAACAAAATGAGCCACAAAATATCTTATGACAAAGAGCTAGAAGCATGAGGTATCAAGATTCTTTTATATTAAGCATGAGGTGTCAAGATTCTCTTATCCTAAAAAATGAGGAGTTAAACTATCACAAGAGTACAATTTTGGGAGCAATAAGAACAAGTAGCTAATGCAATGAATTTACCTATAAATAGTGATTGAAGTGTTTCCATTAGTTCTATACCAA